TTCAGGATTCCAAGTTGGGTCTTGCCTGGTGTATTGCAGTTTAGTGATTTCTTCAATGTATGTCCTATCCACCTTCATCGTTTTTTTCCTGGTTTCTTCTTCAAATATTAACTGATTTGCCATCTTCCACAGTAGGTTGTTTCTGATAGTATCCCGCCAACGAACATTCATTATTGTGAGTAGATGATTGTTTAGAAATACTCATACTTTATTGATGGTCTCTGTAGTAGTTGTCTACATTTCAACTCAGTACAATAAGATTAACTATCTTGATGCTTATTTTGAAGATTTTGACTTTGACATTGGTTGAAAGTTGTTTTGAGTTCTATATATTCTTTAATTGTAAGAATGTAGCCATTGCTTTATCAAAACTCATCATTTACATTTGCATAAAAATAAAATGAATTTAAACATTCATAAGCATAGTCTGATTAACAGAATAAAATGAAGTTATTCCCTTTCATAACTTTTTTTATTGACTTCATAAATACCTAAATCTTTACATAGTTTGAATAAAGGAAGAATTGTATACCATTGACAACTGATAACATCAAAACATTTAAATCTACTCTAATTAACTTTATATTTGAATGTTTAAACAATAAATAAGATTTGAAAGAGATTCTAATAAGAAAACAAAAGATCATAGATTGATTGAAGTAAAACATGAACACTTTTAAGTATCGACTCAATTATCAAGAGGTTAAACTGAGTTCGAATCCCGTGTCAGAGATTGTAGTTACATACTGCCGAAATGACTCAACCTGGAACACAACGGTCATCTATTACATTCAAGTTTTCAAAGATAGTCTAGCTTAGATCAATTCATGAATTCAAAGCCAGTTATAATAAGTTTTGATTGTAGTTCAATAGAAAGAAAAGATTATTTAGATAAAAAGAAAAGATACTATTGAATGACGTAGTGAAATTTCAAAAAACTTGCGTACAGAATGACATATCAGATAAGAAAGCGAATTAAAAGACTCATTAATATAAGAACAAACAAAAAGACATCATTTTAGTTAGTTTTGTCTGAAATGTGAGACAGGTTAGTTTTACTCTACTTATGAGTACATCAGTGAAGTACAATCTGACTGTTGCTATGGTAATTCTGTTTAGTACGACAGGAACTGCAGGATCATATAATTGATATGTGTGCCTAGTCGAAAGGCCAATAGTGCGAAGCTATCATTTGAGGGATTAGAACTGAACGCCTTTAAGTTTGAATCCCGTCCGAATTTGCAACGGTACATTCTGTATTCGACACTAGGCTGAGCAAGCTTACGTATATCTTTTGGTTTCTGGACTAGATTATGTGTACAGCTAGGTCCTTTAGGTCTGGTGTGTAAATCTTAAAATCATATCCTTATCTTAATTCTTAGTATAATACATTATTCATAAATGTTTAATGTATTCGAATCTCACGAGGTGGGATAGTAGATGCGCACTGCTGAAGAGTGCCACATTAGGACGGAACGACCATGCAGTGCTTCCAGGTTTTCAATGGTGGTATAGCTTTAATCAACTCATGATCTCAACCATGAAAATTACTATAACATCCACAAAACCTCTTCCTATACTAACCAACAAACGCTCACTAGTGACTGGCTTCAAGAGGCATTTCCTACAGTTCTATGGAGAAACAGTGATCAGTGGAGTTCAACCAGGCCTGTTGTGATATACTAACTCACTAAAGACAATGGTGGATGTGTCGCTAAATTTCGTGGATTGGTTGAAGTTAGACATTAACATCGTTGGATGCCAGCCGACTCAGTGGTCTAGATTTTAACCGATTGCGCACGAGACCGATAGTTCCTGGGTTGGAGTCTCACGATGCGGGACCATGGATGCGCACTGCTGAGGAATCCTGCAATAAGACGAAACGGTCGTCCAGTCTTTCCAGGTCTTCCATGGTTGTTTGGCTTTAATTGACTCATGAATTCAACGATTAAAATACAACTTATTCTTTTTCCTCTTTTTTTTCTTTGAATCATTGAATCACTTTTTTATGACATACATTTGATAGACAATTAAACCTCAATAATAATTGCATGGTTCTAGACAAATCATGTGATTGACACTACAAAAAAATGAGACTGACACCATTCAGTTGTGGATATACACTACGGTAAGGTCTATTCCTGTAACAAAATATCTTTCAAGTCCTTCTCTTGATCATCAATGTTTATTCGACCTAATGTTGTAGTGAACAGAACACAGGTGGGGATAATCGAATGTATTTAACAACAAATTACAGAGTATCTCAATAAAATCTGAGAACCATATAGTAAATCATTAACTTGCAAATTGTTCATCAATTTTCACAAATGACTCAGAATTCCTTTGTTCTTGTATTTTCATACAAATTGCTTTCTTTCTTCATTTTTTTGTTGTTCGATCTTCTCGTCACTCTGCTGCCAGACATTCTGTTCAGTACTCACGTCATATACTACTTATATCTACATAAGTAGCACACACCACAATGTCAGTCGATGATGTGAAATTTCAATGGTTTCAATAATTTACATATTTGTTTATCATAACAACCATTAATGATTGTATGAGTTAGTCGTGTGTAGCTACCGAATAGGCTAATTTATTGATTATTCTCAAGCTATATTTTGACCTTGTCAAATATTCGTTTGTCAGACTTGACTGTTTCTATGCTTATTCTATTCATCAAATATCTGTAGCATATTTTTGTGTAACTATCGATACACGCTTGTTTAAATCGAGTTGGCTCACACGCTTACTCCACTGCACATCATTTCATCATTTATATATACTTGTCATTAATGTTAAGAACTAAAATCAACTCGTTTGCTCTAGTATAAAGAGTAAGATAACGGTCTTTTTAGTGCCGTTTCCTACACGTTTCAATGAAAATGGATAGTAGAATAAAGAATGAGCGTCTTATCCAACTTTAAACTTATCAGTTTAAGTATTCAATATGACAACTGAGAAAATATAAACTCTGATAAACAAAATGTCTACCCGTTGTTCAGGTTTATAGACTCACTAATTTAATGGTTAACGGGTTGATGTTTAATGTGTAAGGTATAGTATTCTAGGCTCAGTGCCAAAATCAACACTGCTGTTCATATACCAAATATTGGAGAAGTCTATAATTCTCTTACATAACAATGATATAAAATACATTAATTAGTATGTTTATAATTTACAGCAATTTACTGTGATTACCAATGACCAAATCAAATGTCCAGCTTGTAGAGGTTAATTTCCCCTTTATATCTGACTCCAATAAATAGTATCCCGTTAACTGAGTATTTAATGCAGACTAAATCTCCTAGTAGAATTATGGATTTACTCGAGATTATTCAAAAGCCTGAACACCAGCTATAGAGATAGTTTATTAATAAAGTTTTGCAAAATCCGTAGGCGCTCAGGAAACAAGCACACAGGGAAACCAAGAGTGTGTATGTGTGAGAGTGTTGATCAAGTATAGATAAATTATTGATTATCTGTGTATTACAATCAATCGGAGAATAGATTGAAAATTGATATGCAGAAATGTGATCAATCATACTCATACAGGAAATTACATGGTGGAACAAGTGTCTAAATTACAGTGAACAGATAGATAATACAGTAGTTGAATTGGCTTACTAAAAGCTAATTGAAGAGTTCAGTAAATTAGGTATATTTAATAAAAGTATATTCACTTGTTGAAGACAACTTGTTATGAATAAAGTCATCAGTTTCATTATTTATGTAAATATTCCATATAGTTCATTTCGGATTATATTGCATTAGGAAAAACATCACATATGAAAGGGTTTTGTGGAGATTTTAGAAATTTCAGTGGTTGAAATCATGAGTCAATTGAAGCTAGACCACCATGGAAAACCTGGAAGCACTAGATGGCCGTTTCGTCCTGTTGTGGGACTCCACAGCAGTGCTCATCCACGATCCCGCCCCCCGTGAACCGTTGGATGCCGGCTCAGCGGTCTAGTTGGTTAAGCGCCTGGAGCGAGACTGATAAGTCCTGCGTTCGAATCTCGCGGGAAGCGGGGTCGTGAATGCGCAGTGCCGAAGAGTCCCATACTAGGACAAAACGGTCGTCCAGTGCTTCCAGGTTTTCCATGGTGATCTAGCTTCAATTGACTCATGATTTCAACCAGTGAAACATCAGATCTCTTAACTTATAGTTTTTGATTAAAATCATAAATTGATTGATGTTATATCATCATTGAATACCTGGATGCATTAGACGGTCGTTTCATCCTAATACAAGGTTGCTTAACAGTGTGCATCCACAATCCCGCTTGCAGGATTCCAACCCAGGAACTTCAGTCTCACGTTTAACCTCTAGACCTATGAGCCGGCCATCATCCAACTCTGTTAATGTCTAACTTATAACATATACAGTGGATTCAACTTACGTACAAATTGATTTCATAAAACAAATAAAAATGAAAACTTATAAAAAAAATTACAAATTGAAAAGGAAAAACCTTCACATTTCTTTTTAAAAAAAGTTAACTCCTGATCTGTAACGTTTAATGAAGTGTTAAATGTTTCATTGTCGATCAAATTTTATTTGTACATAGTCGTCGTCGTCATTATCATCATCATTATCTCAAGGTTTAAAGCGGTTACGAGTTCACTTAGACTGCGAACGGAAAAAAGACTCAGTGACCAAAAAAACAATAAGCTAGCTATTTGATACGTCTAAGCCCCGATAACTAAAGGAAGTCATCCCAGCTTGGAACAGGGAAAGTATATTCCGCAAACAGCCAGAAACAAGCGATCACAACAAAAACACAATTCAAAACGTATATATAAAGCACAAAATCACCCTTGAGGAGAGTAACAAAATAGCATATTAAAAGACACAACGGACAAATGCCATTTAAGAGTCTCCCAACTAAGAAATACGACATGAAGGTGATAAGAGCGTTTTTGGTGCGAAAACAAAGATATTCAAATTTTTTAAATAAAATTACAAAAATAAGGTTTTCCAAGTGAGTTCTGGTGGTCTAACGTCCCCAACAATTATCCAAATCATCGTCATCATCATCATCCAAATCATCATCATCTTCATCATCATCTAAATCATCCAAATCATCATCATCACCATCATCTTCATAATCGAAATCATCATCTAAATCATCATCATCCAAATCATCATCATCATCCAAATCATCATCATCATCATCCAAATCATTATCATCACCATCATCATTCAAATCATCATCATTCAAATCATCATCATCATCATCATCGTCATCCAAATCATGATCATCATCCAAATCATCATCATCATCCAAATCATCATCATCCAAATCATCATCATCATCATTCAAATCATCATCATCATCATGCAAATCATCGTTATCATCCAAATCATCATCATTCAAATCATCATCATCATCATCATCATCCAAATCATCATCATCCAAATCATCATCGTCATCATCATCCAAATCATCATCATCATCATCCAATTCATCATCGTCATCACCATGCAAATCATCATCCGAATCATCATCCGAATCATCATCATCATCATCATCATCCAAATCATTATCATCACCATCATCATTCAAATCATCATCATTCAAATCATCATCATCATCATCATCATCATCATCATCATCATCATCATCATCATCGTCATCATCATCCAAATCATCATCATCATCATCCAATTCATCATCGTCATCATCATCCAAATCATCATCAACATCATCATCATCATCCAAATCATCATCATCGAAATCATCATCATCATCATCGTCATCCAAATCATGATCATCATCCAAATCATCATCATAATCATCATCATCATCATCATCATCCAAATCATCATCATCATCATCATCATCATCATCATCCAAATCATTATCATCACCATCATCATTCAAATCATCATCATTCAAATCATCATCATCATCATCATCATCGTCATCATCATCATCATCATCGTCATCCAAATCATGATCATCATCCAAATCATCATCATCATCATCATCATCATCATCATCATCATCATCATCATCATCATCATCATCATCATCATCATCATCATCATCGTCATCATCATTCAAATCATCATCATCATCATCCAATTCATCATCGTCATCATCATCCAAATCATCATCAACATCATCATCATCATCCAAATCATCATCATCGAAATCATCATCATCATCATCGTCATCCAAATCATGATCATCATCCAAATCATCATCATAATCATCATCATCATCATCATCATCATCCAAATCATCATCATCATCATCATCATCATCATCATCATCAACATCATGCAAATCATCGTTATCATCCAAATCATCACCCTTCAAATCATCATTCAAATCACAATCATTCATTCATGTAATTTGCCTAGACATTTTCCAACTAATAGTTATGCTGTATTCATTTATATTAGTCAATATTGGCATTTTATATTTTAGTGAACAAATGTTTTCTTATTATTAGTAAATGAAGGGTATGTTTGAAATAGACAAAACAACTTGTCATCTTGTCTTAATTCTCTTCATTGTCATTTGGACTATGGTTGAATTATATTTAAATGTTCAGTTAAAACATAAAATCATTGAATTACCGTTTCTTTTTTATATCAGCCCATTTTGTTATTGCACTATAGAACAGTATGGTGTAATTTGGTGTAATTCTGTTTATGTTCAGTGAAATGATTGAATAACATGTGAAATAATGGGTTGTTTAATATGGTTAATATAAAAGAAATAAAGATTAATCTAAGTTTTGATATCTGTTCGTTGGTGTCAATGACTTAATCTGTTAGAATGCTGATAGACTTGTCGGGGTATGATGGTTATATCAATGATGTTGTCGTTTGAGTAAGCTTCGTTGAATTGGTCCGTTAAATTGTGTGGAATAAGAAAAGTTCTTCATAGACGTAGCTTGCTGCGTTAAGTTCGTCGTCGAGCTCACCAATTTTAGTGGCCCTATATTATGACTTTAATTAGATTAGCTGATGGTGTTATTGACAGGCTCAGCGCATTTAGTATAGCCCTTTATTTGACTTTAATTAAATTGTATTATGATTGTTATCAAAATATACATGCTGCTAATCCTTGGATATAATCATCGACTTTAATCGCGTCAGTGAATTATGGAATTAAATAAGTCAAATACGAGAATGGAATTTCAATATGTATACTTTATACAATCGATGATTCAGACAGACGATAAAAAAAACTTACTTACGCCTGTTACTCCTCGCAACGAAGCATATCCGCTTCTATTTCCCGACGTAATGTGTTCTTCGGCCTTCCACTTTTCCGCTTCCCTTCAGAATTCCAAGTTTGATGATTTCCTCAATGTATGTCCTATCCATTTCCATAGTCTTTTCCTAATTTCCGCTTCAGATGGAAGCCGGTTGGTTCTCTCCCACAAAAGGCTGTTGCTGATGGTATCCGGCCAGTGGATGTTGAGTATCTTGCGTAGACAGCTATTGATAAATACTTGTACCTTCTTGATGGTGGTTGTTGTAGTTCTCCAAGTTTCAGCTCCGTACAGTAGAACTGCCTTGACGTTGGTATTGAAGATTCTGACATTGATATTGGCTGAAAGTTGTTTTGAGTTCCATATGTTCTTCAGTTGGAGGAATGCCGCTCTAGCTTTGCCAATCCTCGCCTTGACGTCTGCATCTGAACCTCCTTGTTTATCGACGATGCTTCGCAGGTATGTGAAGGATTTTACACCTTCCAGAGTTTCGGCATCAAGATTTATTGGATTGCTGTTCTCCATGTTGTATTTGAGGACGTTGGTTTTCCCCTTTTGTATGTTGAGGCGAAGAAAGAAAAGAGGGGGGGAGAGTGAAGCTAAACGAAACAGAGAGGGTATTTGAACCAACTCCATTTGATCAGGAGTTAATCAGTATTTATAGTCACACAAAAATAAGCTTTCGACATGTGACGAATAGGATAAGTAACGCATTCTTATATGCTCATCTAAAATCAGTGTTAATAAGTGAATAATCAACAAGGTCAAAATATAGCTTAAAGGGATGGAATAAATTAGCCAGTCCGCAAGCTACAATAACCTATGTGTTCTCAACATAGTACCAACATAGTACACACTTTCAATTTTCCAAATTTATTGATTGAGATCTTGAATTAATTGATTTCAGACTATCAGTGAAAACCTAAAAGTACTAGACAGTCATTTCATCCTTATATAAAACTCCTCAGCAGTGTGCATCCATGACCCTACTCGCGCGATTCGAACTCACAGCCTTCAGTCCTACGCGAGAACGCTTAACCTACTTGACTACTCAGCTAGTATCCAATTTAATTCAATCACAAAAAATGAACACTAAAGCTTATAAAAAAACTTTCAAAGAACTTTTATTCATTTTAATGATTTTCTTTTTTTTTTCTTTCGAGTTTTCTTTTCTTTTTCAAATCTAAATAAAATACAATTTACTCTCTTTTTCTACGTTTCCATAGTATCAATTGAATTTAGTTGAACAGAATACAATCTTATAGTGAATACAAATAAAATCTCTTTCGTATATATCGATATGTTGTCATAGCAACTCAATTCTATTGATGAACAATTACTCAATGTTATATATATATATATAACCAAAATAAGATTTTCTCTTTTCGAAACTTTATTCATATTTTCTCCACATCATTTATATATTTATATATATACACCGTGATTGACCTGAAAGTTTCGAGAAAATTCCAACAAAATATACTCCGCCTTTACCTACCTACCTACTAGCACTACCTACCTACCTATCTACCTACCTACTACCATCATCACTCATTTATTCATTCATTCATTCATTGTTTGAATGACCTTAGTTTAAATTTTAGACAATTCAATGTTAAATTTAAACAAACCAAATATTATCATATTTAAAATGCTAGTTGATATTCATTGTGAATTAGATGACTTATTTCAAGAATGAATAAATCAACATAGAGGTTAGGATTAGAGTTTATGTTTTAAACAACAACAACAACAACATCATCATCATCAACAAAATGACAAAACAGTTTTATAAATCACAATGTTGATGAATTACTTTTAAGAATATAATTATGAAAATGACTTATATTCACTTAGTATCATTGACTTGTATCATCCTATTGTTGTTAAGGTCTGTAATTGATCTGTCTCTTATTAGCATATATGTATCTTGTACGAATTGCCTTGATATAGCCTTAAGTTACAAGCATTCTAAGCAAAGATAGATAGTGGTTAGTAGTGGAATCCAGGATGTATGACACTTCGTCCTATATGGGACTCGTCATCTGGATGTATCTGTAACTTAGAGTTGATGTTCACTGTGGGACTCGGGACAGGGTTGGATGGAGAATGCTGGTGAGAGGCTTATACTCCTTCACGAGGAGTAACAAGTGTAAGTAAGTAAGTAAGTATGGGGCTCAAACCCAGTACTATTCGCTTCAAACGCCGTTACGTTATCTACTTAGCTATTGAGACCTGATAGCCATTTGATATTGCTTACTTGAATCTTCTCATTGTTATTTAGAACTTTAATTGATCAGTATCTTGTTGGTATCAGGGCTCAATAGTTAAGTAGATAATACGATGGTGTTTGAAGTGAATGGTAATGAGTTCGAGTCTCGGTGTGAACAGCAACTATAGAATTCAAGTACAACTAGCTGACGCGTTCCAAATAAGCTATGAGCCATATGTGAAAAAATTCGAACACTTCACTTTAACCTGAAGTTTGAGTTGATGATGACATTCAGAAGAACGATGAAATCTTCATGATCAAACCATCTAGCTCAAAGAACAAAACTTCATTAAAATCATCCACCCAAGCTACAAATCTTCTGTACTATCTTAAAATCGTTAAACATCTTTAATCATAAATTTGTTCTAATCTGAATATAGGATTTTCAGTTTATTGCGATGAATATAATACAATTAAGTTGTAGCCCATTCATTATATAGTAACATAATTAGTTAATGTTTTCGCTAATGATAGTCTTAAATATGATATAGTACAATGCTCTTCTTGAAACTTAAATGGTTCATGTTTATTAGCAACAGCTAAACTTACGACGAAACAACTATTCACTGTTCTACGATTCTCGATGTTGATGTTACTTCATGAACAGTAGCAGTAACATCAAATTAGTATCTTAACAGAATCAATTATGGTTACGTATTTGGAAGAAAATAAGCTATTCACTTTTACATCTACTGTCATATTGCTCACGGTTATAAAGTTCTAAAGTATGTTCTAAAGATTGGAATTGAAATCAGTTTGAATTCAACATTTTGCTGTCTATCTATCTATCCACACATCTATCTATCTATCTATCTATCTATCTATCTATCTAACTATCTAACTATCTATCTACCTATCTATCTATCTACCTATCTATCTATCTATCTATCTATCTATCTATCTATCTATCTATCTATCTATCTATCTATCTATCTATCTATCTATCTATCTATCTATCTATCTATCTATCTATCTATCTATCTATCTATCTATCTATCTATCTATCTATCTATCTATCTATCTATCTATCTATCTATCTATCTATCTATCTATCTATCTATCTATCTATCTATCTATCTATCTATCTATCTATCTATCTATCTATCTATCTATCTATCTATCTATCTATCTATCTATCTATCTATCTATCTATCTATCTATCTATCTATCTATCTATCTATCTATCTATCTATCTATCTATCTATCTATCTATCTATCTATCTATCTATCTATCTATCTATCTATCTATCTATCTATCTATCTATCTATCTATCTATCTATCTATCTATCTATCTATCTATCTATCTATCTATCTATCTATCTATCTATCTATCTATCTATCTATCTATGTAACTCTCTCTTTCTCCATATACACATATACCGCTTTGAGTTTTCCGCAATCTTTTTTCTCTTGTAGTGTCGGTTACTATATTAAGCCCACATAATTTATTCTAGCTTCTGGACAAACCAATATATGCATTCTCTTCAAGCTACATTTTGACGTTATCACTTATTCTCTTATCAACCTTGACTATTTTTATATGAGTGTATTCGTGTTTCATTCTTATTCTATTCATCACATATCTGTAACTTATTTTCTTCTGACTATATATATATTAATTAAAGCTTGATTAATTGGAATTGGCTTACATGCCTTCTCCATTGCGCATCATTTCGCTTTGCTCTCTTCTCTTCACTTCTCTAGTTCACTTTGCTTTTCCCCTTTTGTTTCCTCTCCCTAATTACCTGTTCAAATCAATAATGAGTGCATGCAATATAAATATTCAAAAATACATTCTCGTATTTAGCTTCTTTCATTCGATTATTCATGAACACTATTCAAGTCGA